AAGAAGCAGGCTTCCAGAATTTGATAAACTGACAGGAAGTGGAGAATGGCTGTCATTACTGTTTATTAATATTTTACTAGTTCTACTATTATCATTATAGTAGAACTAGTAAAATATTCATTTTACTTACTTGGATCAACTATCAACACTCACGGAAACAGCAGTCAAGAGATAGGCGATGTATTTCATTAGGCAAATCTGCTGCACAAGACCTTTTTAAAGTATTGAAGAGCAAAGATGTCAGCTTGAGGACTAAGGTGAGCCTGACCCAAGCCATGGTATTTTCAATAAACTCATATGCATGTGAAAGTTGGACAGTGAATAAGGAAGACCGTAGAAGAATTGATGCTTTTGAGTTATGGTGTTGGAGGAGAATATTGAAAGTGCCATGGGCTGCCAAAAGAACCAACAGATCTGTGTTGGAAGAAGTACAGCCAGAGTGCTCCTTGGAGGCAAGATGACCAAACTTCGTCTCTCATACTACGGACATATTGTCAGGAAGGACCATTCGCAAGAGAAGGATACCATGTTTGGTAAGGTGGAGGGTCAGAGAAAAAGAGAAAGACCCCCAGCGAGATGGATTGGCCAGGTGGCATCATTGATGGACTCAAGTGTGACAGCGGTAGTGAGGTTGGCCCAGGATCGGGCAGTGTTTCGTTCTGCTGTGCATGGGGTCGCTATGAGTTGGTACAGACTCTATGGCACCAAACAACAACAACTGTTATCACTAATACTGCTGCTTCTGCTACAGCTACTACCACCATTGTTGTATGTTGTATGTTGTATTGTGGCACTGTAAGAAAAGCACTGGACTACTAACCACTGTGTTGATGGTTCATACCCACCAGCTGGCCCTCGGAAATCCTGTACAGTGTCATTATGTGTCAGAACTGAACAGCAAAAAACAGTTCACAGACTGAAGCTGACAGACCTAGGCATGATCCAAGAACAGAGGAGAAGAATCAGATGATGTCAGGTCTGCTTCTTGGGTGATGAATGAAAGTCTTGGGAGGAGTGTCTGTTGGAATGGAGGCTGCTCCGAAAGGAGGGAAAAGAATCATCTTTTATATCTTGCATTTCTTCCATGATAGATTGCGGTCAACCGGATGAAAATTCTGGCTCGTGTCTCTGTTCTGGGAGATAGAAATTTACACATTCAATTTTCATTCACCTTCTGGTCCAAAGACCAGGTCACTTCTGTGTCACTAAGGGCCTTTGCTTCATGCTGTGTGATTACTCCATGAAAGCCATGCCTGCAGATTAATGTCTCAATTCTTCAGCCTCGTATTTAACACCTGCTACAGTCTGATGCCCTGTTCTAGGTTTCAGCCTCTGGGACCTTGGCTAAAACTTTACCAAATGAATCAAAATATACACACTGCTCTATTAATGAAATAATACATCTTTGCATCTGTGTTTGTTACCTATTATGATATAACAAATTATCCTCCAGATTAGTAGCCCAACACAGGAATATTTATAAACTCACTGATTCTGTGACTCAGAAATCTGAGTGCATTTTAACTGGGTCATCTGGCTCAGGATCTCTTGCAAGATTACAATCAAGGTTTCAGTCAAAGCTACCAGTCAACGCTATCTTAAGGCTAGGCTGGATAGGCATTTGCTTCCAAGAATGTTGTGAATGTTGGCTGAATAGAGTTCCTCACTGACTGTTGGCTGGAGACTACTGTTAATTCCATGCCTCTTGGACTTTTCTGTAGGGAAGCTCATAATATGGTAGCTTCTTTCATGAGAATGAACAGAGAGCCAGAGAGAATTTAAATACAACAGAAGTCAGCAGATTTGTAACCTAATCTCAGAAGTAATATTCCATCCATTTTGCCTCTCTTCTATATATTAAAAGCAAGTCTCTGGATCCAGGCAGCCCTCGGGGAAGAGGCTCGCCAAAAGTGTGAATAACTAGAGGTGGGGGTTACTCGGGAGTCATTTTGAAAGCTACACAATACCTGTAATCTATCATGTTGGTTAAAGCAATGTTAGTTTATGGAATTGAAAATGCTGAAATGCCAGTTGCATAACCTACTAGAAGGTTCTTTCTCATTCTCATAAAGACTGAATGGGAGAGTGGGTAGAGATGCTGTGTTCCACCGTTTTTCAGATATGCTGGCTGAAGGGGATCATCGCTATCTTCAAAGGATGTCTTTCAAGATTAACCTAGCAGGCAACGTTCAAGAAGGTAGACAGGGAAAACAGAGAAATGGAGGTCGACATCGGATGTGTATTATACCCGTTAACATTCCATTGGTCAGAATTCAGTCATATGATCTCACCTAGATACAAAGGAGCCTCGGAAACATAGTTTCCCCAGCACGTCACTTAATTAGAGAAGAGGATCGGAATTCTTGATGGACTCTGCCATACATACACAGAATGCTTACACATATGTCATTTTAATTGTTTATCTCAACTCATTCTCTCTGCATTACTATTCTTGTATAACAAACAGGGATGCATAATAAATATATTTTTTGAGCACTTTGCCTTTTGCATAATTAGAGTTGTTGTTGTTGGTCTTGGTGGTGGTTAAGTGCCATTGTGTGAGTTGCGAACCTATGTTGGGTTTCCAAGGATCGACTGGTAGCTTTGAACAGTCATTCTTGTGACTAGCAGTCCAGTGCTTACCCTACAATGCCACACGAAGACTGCATATAATTAAAGAGAAGAGGATTTATGCCTCAACTGCACCAACAACAACATGTGATTTGTTGATGTTGTTGTTAAGTGCTTTTGAGTCGATTCCAACCCATCGCGACCCTGAACAGGGTTTCTGAGGAGCAGCTGGTGATCTTGAACCATTCAGACAGCTTTGCAGTCTGGCACATTAACCCACAGCGCTTGTTTGTTGTCAAGTGCCATCAAGCAATTCCGACCCTTAGCGACCCTGTATGGGGTTTCCGAGGAGCAGCTGATGAGCTTGAACCGCCAACCTTGCAGTTCAAACAGCTTTGCAGTCTGGTGCATTAACCCACAGTGCCACACCAGGACTCCAACCCACAGCGCTTAGGGAACAGCTATTTAACTGTTAACTTCTCTGAGCCCTTTGCTGTGGGACAGTGAATCCCAGGAAGAATCAACACACATCACCTTTTAAATGCAGTTGTTTCTGTTGGGCCTAGCCTTTGCTTTTCTGTGTGAGAGACACTGACCAAAGAGCCTCTTTTTATTCCAGTCTTTGTGGTGAGACGGTTCCCCAAGGCCTCTTAATTCAAAGTCTTTGTTTAGAGATAGGCTTTATCTTGCTAATTAGATAAAAGCCCAGGAAATGATGTAAGATGAGATGTTTTGTTAGACTCTTAAATTCTATCACATTTCTTTCAGAGGATTGTTAACTCTAAGAGAAACAGAAAAAATTAGTCTGCACGTTCATGAGTCTCCAAAGGACCCTCGGGACTGAGGTGGGCTGGCTGGTGAATATTGCATATCTGTCATGACCAACCTGGACAGCTCATCAGAGGCCATATCATTAGCCTTCAAGACCTGTTCCATATAAAGAGTGAGGAGGATGCAGAAATGGATATGTTGAGTACCATCGCAGTCTCCACAGTGGTGGATGCTTGGGAATAGGTGGACAGATCCTGAGAACTTTATATGGACTCTCAAAGATGAGGGGGCTACTTGGACCCCTTTTCCTTCCTAGAAGTCTTGAAGACAAGTGACCTCTAGTCTGGATCAAAATCACATCAATCTAGTTGGCTATGGATTCTCTGTATAAATTTCACCTTTCACACTGAAAACCCTTCCTTTGTCTCTTGCAAGTCTTCTTTCTTGTCTTCCTTTTCTACCTGGACCATTGCTTGAGCTAACTCATGCCACATGATCTTTCCTGTCAGTGAAGTTGATTGTTGCTGTTACATGCTGTCGAGTCGTTTCCAACTCATAGTGACCCTGTATAGGACTTCTAAGGAGCGGCTGGTGAGTTCGAACCAACGACCTTGTGGTTCAAACCAACGTTGCAGTCCAGTTCTGTATACCACAGTGCCACACCAGGACTCCAAAATTGATTAGAGTTGATATTTAATTTGTTTGCCGAGGAAAGATTAGCACATCAGTCCCGTGTGTCCTCCTGTGTTTGTACTATTTTAACACCCTGCCTCATGGTTTTCTTGCTCATTTTTTTACTCAAGACTTTGTCTTTGGATTCCATACTCAGTCTATTCTACCAACGGACAAATCCATTTTAGAAGATTTTCTGTGTTCAAACTAGCTGAAGCAGTGGTTTTTAATCTTTTTGCTTAGCATTATGAGAAAGCTCACCATCACCATTCCTCACGTACTAGCTCCTTATCCAGCATGTCGTATGTTCGACACAAAAGCAAAGTATGTCTGACAATAACAAACGCTGAGGCTACTAGGCATGAAAAACACCAGCTGGGATGGGTAAGGTTATGTGTCAGTTTGTCTGGATCGTTACTCTCTGTTACGTAATGGTGTACTTTACAGTTATGCATTCGTTTAATTTGGCACTTAGGTAATGATATTGTCATCCTTCAACATGGAATCTGATGTTTACATTCTCCATTTCCACGTAACAAACTTAGTCTTTGGATACTAACCATTGTCAAGAATTGAGGAGTTGTATTTCATTTTTTTTAAGTGCAAAAGAAAATTTTAGGCAATCTCTTTCTAATGCCAGACAACTAAGATAGAAAGAAGAAAAATAATAATTTGTTATCTGCATATATTTAAATAGCCAGTAGACTGGGATCACAGAACACTGAGACAGTTCTATTTAAATGGCCTATGGGTCTATAGGCTAAGCACTGAACCACAAGGTCAGTTTAAACCTCAAGGTAAGCTGTTAAACTCACCAGTGGCCCCTTGGAAACCTTATACTGGGTCACTGTGAGTTGGAACTGACTCAATGGCATTTAACAACACTAACAGTGGGACCCAGGATGCCATGGTTTTCAGTTGTGCTAACCTTCACGGGACAGCATCTCTAGTTTCTTTTCAGTGATTGTTTGTCGTTCCCTCTCTAGGAACCAATGTCCAGGAGGCTCAGAACTTGCTCAATGACAGTGGACTCCCTATTACTTCTGCTGTCGACCTGGAAGATGCAGCCAGGAAGGCCGTGGCCAGCGTGGCAAAGAAGTGATCCACTGTTTCCAGGAAAACAGTGTTCTCTAATCACTGTGAAGAAAATGGTTATCTCATTGCTGTGGGGAGAGGGTTGGGGAGAACAAGAATCGCTATATGAAAAACCTGAAGTGTGTCTTTTTCTTGAATAAGCTATCTAGGCAGCCTAAATAATACAATTTCACTTTTCTGTCCAGATTCTCATACTTTCCTGGAGCCGGCCCAGTCTACAGAGTTAAGGGAGACGTCTGTATGACCAGTGTGCATATAGAAATAATTTTCAATCAGACTCTGGCTCATTTATAAGAATTTTGGTAGACGTTTAGACCATAAAAAACTCAGACAATATTACTCTTAGCATATTAACAACCAAAAGTTAAGGCATTCACAGAAATGGGTTTTATTAAGCACTATGACTCTAAGGCACTTCACAACAACAACAACATTTTTTTTTACAAGTTTCTGACTCCAGCACACGTCTGCAAAACTCGTGATTATTCCAAAATGTTTTTGTTTCATGTTTTACAGTGGGAAGTCCACATCAATATCCCATACATTTATTTTACCTTTTGCCTTAATTTTTGATGTACTGTTTACCTCACACTCAAGTAAAGCCAGATGCCTTATGTATGACTGTGAAGAACATTCCATTTTTACAACAAAACTGAAGCACTCTCAATCTTACTGGAAGTCTTTATCATCGTGGCCCTTTGGGATGAGATCAGACCAAGTTACGTTATGGGTGTCAGTGTCTTTTCCCACGTCTCCTGTACCCTCCAGTACTTACCAGCTTATGGTAGAGAGATAGGAAACTGTATGTAATTCAGAGAATGTGAATTTTTCTATAATGTCCATTTTTATGAGGGGGAACAATTTAAATTAGGTTTCTGTGTAAAATTTTGTTAAATTTTTGTAACTACACACAAATTCAAATAAAATCCTTTGTTTTTTAAGTTCAAAGATCTGTGTTTTTGTCTCATATTAGCGTATTTTATTTGTCAGACAGTTTTGCCAAGACACGCATTTCAGATAGTCCCAAGGTTATTTCACTTTCACGGAGCTTAATCAAGAGCCCTTCCTATGTTAGGAGATTATTCACCGGCAAAATGTAAAATACATGCTTGCCAACAGTTCAGGTGAGACTTGCACGTGTATCAGGTTAAAATGTGGTGTCAGTCTGTACAATGCTGGGCAGAGACACGCTGCAGACACTCCCGATTAATGAGGGTCTCACGCCACCACTGACATTTCATCTCAATGGCCAAAATGTAGCAGACCAGAGGTTTTTGTTTGTTTTTTACCAGCTTTCATTGTGCTCGTAAATTTCACATATTGGAAGAAAAAAAAAGTCATTATAGATGCATAATTATTAGCATGGGAAAAGAAACCATTTAATAGATTCATCTCTATGACCTTTCTAAATTGGTATGCAAAGAATGAACAATATTGACAATGTCCTTTTTTAATGCCCTGGTAACTAGTTATAATGATTTTTCTCTCTGTGTTTGTGTGTGTATATAGATATTTAAGTACATTTTTGTTCTTTGTTTCCAGCAGGGACATTTGGCAATGTCTACAGATATGTTCTGGTAACACAGTGCTTGCAAGTTGGGCTGTGTTTCTCAAGGTCAGCAGTTTGAAACTATCAAAGGGGCTGTCAATGAATGATGAGGCTTTCTGCTCCCTTATACTTTAAGGAGCTCTGGTAGCGTAGTGGTTACGACTCGGGCTGCGAACCTCAAGGTCAGCGGTTCGAAACTACCAGTGGTTCCGCAGAAGAAAATGAAGCTTTCTGCTCCTGTAAAGATTTACAGCCTCAGAAACCCTATGCAGGGTCTACAAGGCAGAACTGAATCCACATACGTAACCACTACCACCATAGAGATGTTTGTCACGACTGGAAGAATGTTACTGTCACCTAGAAGGTAGAGGTCTACGAGGCTGCACAGGACAGGCCTCAACATAAAGAATTATTCAGCCTAAAATGTCAGTTGTGCTGAGAGTGAGAAACTGAGTTCGTTATTGTTACTCATTTACTATGATAAATATGGATTACAGGCATACTAAAAATGCAGTTATCCAAAAAAAGACACTACATAAAGTGAAAGTATATAAGATTTGCTTAGTCGATCAGTATATTAAACATAAAAGCTATAAGTTTATTTCCACATTTCCTGCTTGAGTCTTGAATTAATTTATTGTGCAAATGTTCTATTAGAATGGAACTTTATGAAAGTTATACTATTCTTTAATAATATTCTATTTGGGGAGATGAAATATTAAACTGTCAGAAAAACATGTAAATAGAAACTCGCATAAGCTTATTTGAAGCTGGTCTATTTAAATAGCATGTAAAAATCTTACGCATTTTACATTGTAGTCTCTCAGAATAAATGTTCAGTTTTGTTTTAGGCCTTGAACCAGAATAATTAGTTATGATTTTTCAACTAGTTCACATTTCATGGATCTGCTTCCTAATTTTATTCAATATATAGAGTTTAATTCTTTTATATATTTTGTTCAATATATAGAGTTTAATTATTTTATAGAGTAGTTATTTTTTGTCTCATTGGGGATGTGATTCCAGTTGTTTTCAGTCTACTAAATCTTTGACGCCTTGTGTATAAAATCCTAGTATTTATAAAATCCTAGTTTGCTACATATGTTCCAGTGATAAATGTCAAACAATATATTGATCTATATTGAAGCGTCTAGTAGAGATGAAACTTGCTGTTCAGAAAGAGATATAGCCAGCATGTAAGAATTATCTCTGGTAAAACAGAACATGTCAGAAATTTACCTCCTGGGTCTATAAAAGGGTGAACGCACCACTGTATAAATAGAAGTTCTGTAACAAAAAGAGGGGAGTAGTTAATCTTATATTCCAGGAATAGAAATCCCTAGGACCATCAAGGGAAAGAGCACGAGCGGAATGTGGGCCCCTATCCAGAGAAGCAACGATACCAGAGATGAAGGCAGAGCTGAGGACATAGAGAGGGAGAGCAGCTGAGGCCTCTAGACTCATGGAAAGAGAAAGACTGTGTGCTGGGGGTCAGGAGGCAGGCTTGCAGACTGTGCCCTTTGGTTATTTAAATGATTACAGATCCCTGAGTGTTTTTATGTACATCCACAAAAAACAAAACAAGGAAATACTATTGAATAATGATTCATGGAGGGGATTGTAATCATTGCAATGAAACAAAATACGATAGGATAAGTGTAAAATCGATGCTCTCCCATGTAAACTATCACTCAATTCATAATAAACACTTTATAAAAAGAATGCTAAAAGCAGTTAACAGTTCTTGGTGGTGGTGGTGGTGGTTATGTGCCATGGAGTCAGTTCTGACTGATAGAGACCCTTCATAGGGTTTCCAAGGCTGTAAATCTTTAAGGCAGCAGAAAGCCTCATCTTTCTCCCACACAATCACTGATAGTTTCGAACTGCTAACTCTGAAGATTAACAGCCCGACTCATAACCACTACACTACCAGAGTGTTGTTAAGTGTCATCCATTCAGTTCCAACTCATAGAAAGCATATACAGGGTTTTCAAAGCTGTAAACCTCAGGAGCAGAAAACCGCCAACCTTGTGGCTTACAAGAGGGGACCAAATGCTTTTGAGTTGTCAGCATATTAGTGCTTACGATACAATTCTGTGCGGTATGTTTCAGTTCTTCTGAGTCTTCAACTTCTGAAGCATGCTTTCTAAAATTCAAGTGTTTGAAAGTGTTCCATGAACACAAAACCTCTTAGGATCATTGTCCTAGGATATGCCATTTTAAAACAGGGCTTGAAAAATGAAGCTAATGATGTTTAATTCAAACAAATGCTTATCTAACATCTGTCTTCACAGGCAACATGACAGCTGCTGAGTGAGAACAGATTAAATACAGACAGCCGTTGGACTCCAGCACTGGATAATCCAGATGTGTTTAGAACCACTAACTGGAACACAACAGGACTTGGAGAAATGACTGAGAAGTCTGGCAAGAATTTCCCATATATGATAACCACGCCACGTCTTGATGTAACACTTACATCGATGTGATGGCTTTTATGTCTTTAGGGGCAGATTTCATGCACTGAAAAGATGTTTAAATTGATTGAGAAGTTAATTATTTATTTTCAATGTTAAGGCCTACTTTCTAAATTTATAGATATTCTCATTCTATTTCTAAATCTGTCCAATTTAAAAAATTAATTTTAACGGGCTTTTGATTCATGTTTAGATCTATTTTCACACTTAAACTCCTTTAAGCTTTCAAGGGTATTTATAAATCTAATCTATTCTATTTTCAATCTTATGACAAGCCATCCTTAGCACTTAAGTAGTTCTCATAAATCTAATAAATTAAAATTATAAAAATAATCATTTTTAAATTCTGTTTAAAAACCAAGAAACCAAACACACTCCCATTGAGTTGATTCCAATTTATTGGGACCTGTTGAGTTACTGGGGGTCCTGGTGTGGCGCTGTGGAATAAAGCACTTGACCTCAAGGTCAGTTTGAACTACAAGAACAACTGGTGGTTCAAACTCACCAACCGCTTCTTGGAAATCCTATGCATAGATGCTTTTAGTCAAAGTCATCTCCATGGTACGTAACAACAATTGAGTTTCTGAGCCTAAATCTGTGTAGGATCTGACAGCCTCATCTTCCTTCCTTGGATCAGCGGGTCAGGTTGAACTACCGACCTTTCCGTTTGCAGGTGAGCGCTTAACCAGTGTGTCAGCAGGGTTCCTTGTTAGCTGCCGTTAAGTTGTTTCCAACTCACAGGAATCCTAAATAAGATTTCCAAGACTGTAAATCTTGACAGGAACAGGACGCCTCATCTGATTAGCAGTCCACTGCTGATCCTACAGCACCAACAGCGTTTTAATTCAGCTTCTTAACACCTGCCACTCATTCATTTGTTCTCCACATCCAGAATTTATCATTTCCACAATGGAAAACCTCATGTTCCCCTTTTGTACAGAACCCCCTAGCATCACCTCCTTAACCAAAACCAAACCAAAC